GTCAAGGAAATAATTCCATGAGAATTTAAATCCACCATTGTTTACGATAGTAATTGCCTCAATTGAATGTGGACGGGAATAAAAGCTACAAAAAGTTCTAACACAGTCTCTGTGTCACTGGCCAAGCTGCTCGTCTCCTCCAAACCCTGGGCCAGATACAGACTGACCTCAGTCCCCACAAAAGCCAACGAGGCGACCCACATGACAAGCTCAGACAGCCCAGGGGAACTGCAGACACCAGATACAGACTGACCTTAGCCCCCACAAAAGCCAACGAGGCGACCCACAAGACAAGCTCAGACAGCCCAGGGGAACTGCAGACACCCGAGGAGTCGGACACCCTCTTTGCTTTGGGGTTTTTGTCCATTGTTTTCCAAAGGACTTTAAAAGAGGATGAGGATCCGTGCTATGGAAACAGAGCTCAAATGATCCCGCAGGAAAGGAGAGGCCCAGAGCTAGTCTTTATTTTCTGAGAAATCACACACCACACATGAAGAACTCAGAACACACTTAAATCTAGAACAAGATCAGTTTTTTTTTTAAAAAAAAAAAAAGAGTATTCTGTAGCTCCTCATTGTGAGGGAACGTGTAGGACAGTTTGGCCACGAGGTCTGCAACACAATGGTACCAGACTTCATATTATATCCATATGGGAAAAACCATTCATCTTCAGTAATAGTTTCTGAAATTAACCTTATTTTCCTTCCGTTTGAAGATTCTGTTTCAAAAAGCAAGCATAAATTTTATTTCAATGTTGAAATGCTAAAAGAATTTTCTTTTATTTATGAGATTTAAAAAAAAGAAACATTTCAATAGCTCACAGGTAAAACATCCAGCTTAACAGGAAAATAAGCTTTGATGAGGAAACAGAAGCTTTTCAGTGGGAAAAATACTGATTTGAATTCCATTCAGCTGACTTCCCTGGGAAGTGCTGCAGCAGATGACATGACGTCATGACATCTGACGCTCAGGCCAGAGTTCCAGTGCACCCTGGACCACAGAACCCTGAAAATCCACGGAGGAGAAACTGAACCAAGCCCTTCTTTTGTCTTTAAAACACCAGTGCTAAGAATCCCACCTCTTAAAATCATATTAGAAAAAAATATGCATGGATTTTCAGAATAAATTTTTCTCAAGGTTTACCGCGCCAGTGTATGGCATACTCAAGTGACACACAGCATCTCTGGCTTTAGTTGATATATTGCCCGGGAGCCTAATCTACGTTACAATACTTTTTTGTAAATTAAAATGCCAATAAAATAAAACAAAAGACAGCCCTCTCAGAGGAAAAAAATAAGTTAGCAGATATAAATGGATGATTCCCAGAAGAGATCCAAACAGCCTGAGAAGGTTCTGGGCTCCACTAGTTGATGTTTTAACAGACACCAGCATCAGAGAACCAGACTAGTAAAATGCCAATAAAGTAATCCCGTCTATTTTAGGTCAGCTGTGGGGAGAGTGACCCTTGCATAGAGTGCTGTGGGAGCAGATAAAACGTTTTAGCCAAATTAATGAATAAAAATCATAAAAGATAGCCTTGGCCAACTTCATGTTGCAAGCGTAGGTCCAACCATGAATCTTTAAAAAAAAAAAGATGAGCTATGCTGAAATGCCTAGTTCTAGGCATTTCATACAAAAAGCAAAGGGTGGCGTTCAGGGTGAACAGCCTCACACAGTCACCAAACAACACAGAGGGTGCATGACCAGAGGTCAGTCTCTCTGACTCCATCACCTTGTGTGATCTGTGGGTGCGCCTGAGAAAATTATAGGCTCTGGCACTCAAGACCTCTTTTTTGTAAAAAGGCTGAATAAGTTGCATGACTTGGGGAGGTTTCGAAGTTTGTGGGTCTTAGTTTCCTTGTCTATAAAGTAATGCAGGCCTAGCTCATTGGACTCTTTTCTTCATCAGCCGGCACAACGTGGCACACAGTGAGGACTCTATGGACACCAGGTCTCTTCTGAGGCCAGAGGGTACTGACCCCTCTTTTGAAGGTATTTAATCAGCAATTAGGTCTCACATCTCTCCACAGGAAACTAAGGTTATATTGGGTCGTTTCTGATGTAGTCTGGAAGGAGTAAGCCTGTTTATCTATTGATGCACACGGATAACTAAGTGATCTGTGTTAACGTGAGTTGCATGCCTCGTCTTCTTCACGAGACCTGCATAAACTCTGCTTCTGTACTGGCCAGCTTCGTCTAGAACTGAGACCGTTCAACCCCTACCAATTCAATAAATTTAACCACCCCTGATGTTCAATTAAAAAAAAAAACTAAAATTAATTGATCTATAATTTCAGTTTAAATGATCTGACATAGGCAGGCTTCTTTTACGTGACAGCAAATGGGATTTTTTAATGGAAATATTGATAAGCCCTTTAAGTGATTGGGGAGCCAAGGACAATGACACTGATGCTGCGCCAATAAACCTAATGCCATGGAGATTGTCTTTTAAAGAAATGTGTCTTTGCTTTCTCAGAGCATAATGCATAGCTTGACAACAGACATGTCAACAGTTAGGCCTCTATTCTTCAAACCGTCATGCTCTATTAATGCTGGTTTTCAGTGGGATTTACTTTGTCAAGGAAGGAAGGGCCAAAAGAGGAAAGTCTATGGTCTTCCTAGTCACTAAATCCCTCTTCTCACTGAGGCACAAATGACTAACTACTCCCAGAGTCACAGAAAGAAGAAGGGTTGAAAGCAGGCCAAAACTATCCAGGGAGCTGGGGGTAGGGCAAGCTACCCTTGAATAAGCAAAGCCCTGCTTAGACAAGAAGAAAAAGAAAACAGAGTTTGTGACAGGAATGCCTAGGGGTGTCACCTGTTCTGTTTGTGTCTGTCAGGTGAGGGGGTGGCACAGGGATGTTTCCTCGGGCCAATAGGACCGAGTGTTTTAGCTGGAGCCAAGAAGAGCGTCTTAACTCAGTTCCAAAGAAGTCTAGGCATTTCACCCTGTTAATCCGCTAGCAGAGACACATGGCCACTTACATGGCTCTTCTGGTAATCACAGGCACTAAGAGTCCGAGGCAGGGGAAGCGGCAAAGCAAAGCTTTGTTTAGCATGAATTTCACGGTGGGCTTTGGGTGCTGATGAGCTTTTCGGTTTGCCCTTGGCCATTTAAGAAACAATCTTCTCAGATGTGACTGATAAACAAGTTCTAAGCCCGGGCTGAGTGCGCAGAAGCTTGAAACAAAATACTTGAGTCAAAGGAACTGACTCACCTAGCTGGCTTTTGCATTATATTTGTTCCCACAATGTCTTCAGTTTACACACACACACACACACACACACACACACACACACACAGAGAAATGCATACACATGTGCACACACATGTGTGCACACACCCACACATGTACACACTCACATGCATACCCGTGTACACGCACCCATGCATGTACACACTGTGCACACATCCATATATGCACATACGCGCATGCATGTGCACACGCCCATACATGCACACACACACACACACACACACACACAGGCATGCAGGCACACACCCAGGAGATAAGTGGGCTCCATCTTCTTTTTACAGGCAATGATGTTAAGGGTGACTCTGGAATGATACTTCCCAGGTGAACTCTGAATTTGTGTCGAGAACAAAGACAGCTGTTTTCTAAGAAGTTCAAAATATTTTTTCCTGTTAGCTTTTTTGAGCAAGGGTCTCACTATGTAGCACTGGATGACCTAAAACGTTCCACACTGACCAAGCTGACCTCAAACTTAAAACAATATCTCTGCATCTACTTCTGTAGATTTTTAAAACTGTAGTATGATTTCCCAGTGCAGACAAAAAAAAAAAAACCCGCCTGCTAATTTTAAATTTATCTACATGCCAGTAATCTGCCCCAATCTAAAATTCATCTTAACCACCTTCCTTAAATGTTACAAGAATAAATATTAAAAATAGCATTGTTTCTCAGATGAAGCATGAAATGATTCTTACATTGATCATATTGTACTAGTCTATGTAAACCACTGAAAAAATTAGACTTTTTATCTAACTTTTACAACTGAGAATTAGGAAATGTGCACGAAACATTACAGTATTGGTATTGAGGCTGGATTCCAATGTCTAAATTCTTTAATATGCACTTACAGACAGTTCATGAGAAGTGAACAATACAATGTGCATAATCTCTCTGGATAGTTCTCAGGATTCAAGACCAAACAGTATATGACTAAAAGGAAAGAATTCCCATTGTAGCTGACATCAGACATCTTGGTGAGGCCACCTAAACATGAGGTGGCAAAAGGAAAAATTCTCACTCATCAATTTTAAAAAACAAAAACAAAAAAACATGTCGCTTTTTCTCCTTACGTTTGCCAACAGTTGGCCCGGAGATAAACAAGTAGGATTAGAGAATCATTTCTTGTGGCGGAGAAGCCAGCACAGCCATGCCAGCCAGCTCCCCCAGTTAGTGAGGCAACGAGGAGCCACACTGTGAACCCAGCCCTTTGCGCTCAGTTTTGTGCCCAACACCGATCAAACAGGAAAAGCAGGCAGCCTCAAAGAGCTGCTGACAAGCATAGTGGAGATTTTAGAACCCTGGGCATGGTGCAGAAAACACAAGAAAGCAATACCCAACGATGAAGAAGGAGCCACTGAAGACCGGAGATTTCAAGCTATACTCTAGAATGAAGCATAATTCTAGAGCAATGATTGCCTCTGTCTCTGATTAATTGAGCTGACAGGCTCAGACATATACTGTCTGCCATAGCATTGTATAAACCTCTTCTAGAGAAAGAAAGCATTCAGTGGCTAAAAGATTTTATGCAAAATGCCCAGCATTCTAGCAGAGTTACTAAGCATGTTTAAAAAAAAGAGGGAGAAAGATAATAAAAACAGACACTTAAATAACACAGATTCTTTTTTTAATTGATTTTATTGAGCTATACATTTTTCTTTGCTCCCCTCCCTTTCTCTCCCCTCCCCTTCATCCCTCTTCCATGGTTCCCATGCTCTCAATTTACTCAGGAGATCTCGTCTTTTTCTACTTCCCATGTACATTAGATCCATGTATGTCTCTCTTAGGGTCCTCATTGTTGTCTAGGTTCTCTAGGATTGTGAATCGTAGTCTAATTTTCCTTGCTTTATGTCTAAAAGCCACTTATGAGTATTATGATATATGTTTTTCTGGATCTGGGTTACCTCACTCAATATGATGTTTTCTAGATCCACCCATTTGCCTGCAAATTTTAAGATGTCATTATTTTTTTTTCTGCTATGTAGTACTCCATTTGTGTAAATGTACCACATTTTCCTTATCCATTCTTCAGTCAAGGGGCTTTTAGGGTTGTTTCCAGGTTCGGGCTATGACACACAAAGCTGCTATGAACAAGCTGAGCAGATGTTGTACCACATTGTGGCACAACTGAGCATCCCTTGGATATATACTCAAAAGTGATACTGATGGATTTTGAGTAGGGGTGTTTCCTAATTTTCTGAGAAATTGTCATCCTGATATCCAAAGGGGTTGTACCAGCTTGCACTCCCATCTGCAATGCAGAAGTGTTTCTTTTACCCCACATCCTCTCCAGCATAAGCTGTCAACAACAGTGTTTTTGATCTTGGCCATTTTTACAAGTTTAAGATAGAATCTCAGAGTTGTTTTGATTAGCATTTCTCTGATGACTAAAAGTGTTGAGCATTTCCTTAAGTGTCTTTCATCCATTTTAGATTCCTCTGTTGCGAGTTCTCTGTTTAGGTCTGTACTCTATTTTATTTTATTGGGTTATTTGTTCTTTGAATGACCAATTTGTTGAGTTCTTTGTAAATTTTGGAAATCAGTCCTCTGTCTGATGTGGGGTTGGTTAAGATCTTTTTCCATTTTGTAGGCTGCCATTTTGTCTTGTTGACCATATCCTTTGCTTTATAGAAACTTTTCAGTTTCAGGAAGTCCCATTTATTAATTATTCTCTCAGTATCTTTGCTGCTGGGGTTATATTTAGGAAGTGGTCTCCTGTGCCAATGGATAACACAGAGATTCTTAAATAATTGCATGGTTTAGTCAGGAATATAAATAACCAAATAGAGTTAAACTAAAATTTTAAAAATAATTTATTATAACTGAAAAGTAAAGTAATTTAAAATAGCTAATAGGCAGATTAAAAGCCTTGTTGATCTCAGCAATACTCTCATTAGAATATTGCTGAATTAGAACATATGTCAGTGACATAGAGAAGGAAACACATGGAACATACAGGAATCATGAACAGAGACATAGACCTAATGAATTCTGGGCATGGTGGGGTGGAGGGAGAGCTACCAAGCATGTAACTGTAACTTCAGAAGAAAGAACAGAAGAAATTCAACAGCCATAAATAAATAAACAAAAAATGCCTCAAACATTATAAAGTTAGACAATGTGCTTCTATGTTCATAGTCAAGGAAACCACAATAAAATTAGAATTTTTTTCTGAACTAAATCAAATCAAAAATTTGGAATGGGGGTGACGTTAGAATGAGAGGGAAACACATAGCCTGGAACTATGTGTTTTCAGGGAGGTTATGCAGGTCTGTGGTAGAGCACTGAGGCCCTGGGTTCAATCCCCAAGTCCCCAAATAACTCTCTCTCTCTCTCTCTCTCTCTCTCTCTCTCTCTCTCTCTCTCTCTCTCTCTCTCTGTGTGTGTGTGTGTGTGTGTGTGTGTCTATGTGTGTGTTTGTCTGTCTGTCTGTGTGGTGTGTGTCTCTTTCTATCTCTCTCTCTCTCTTTCTCTGTGTGTGTGTGTGTATATATATGCATGTGGGTCTGTGTGTGTGTCTCTCTCTGTCTCTGTGTGTGTGGTCTCTCTCTCCTTTTTGCTCGTTTTCATGATGCATGCCTAAAATCCTAGAATCCTAGCCCTTGAGAGGCTGAGGCCACAAGATTAGATGTTCAAAGTCAGTCTGGAATAATAGAAAGACCCTGTCCAAAGAAAATGTCTCATATTCTTAAAAAAGAGCAAATTAAATAAATAGAATAAATATAACTCTTTGAAACAACAGTAAATTAAACCAAAAGCTAAAAGTTGAGGCGGCAGCAGCAACAACGACCAAAGCCTAAGAAATGTAAAAGTTCCTTCAGGGATGCAGGCCCTGAGAGGCTACTCATGATCCATGGCCCAACACCCATGCACTAGGACTTGCAATGGTCTTTAAAAATCAAAGAAGGAAAATGAAACTAGGTGGAGGGGAAGAAGAGGAGAAAAGATCGAGTTGGAGAGGAAGGAGGAGGAAAGGGATGGCGCGTTCGATTTTAAAGATACATTATATGAATTTTGCAAACAATTTTTAAAAAGGGTAACAGAAAACAATGTTTCTGCACATATGTTATGTTTGATAAAGAGTTTATTTTAGAAGTCACAACAGATTGAAGTGAACAGTTACTTATCGTGTAAAACCCACAAATTAGAAGGGGAGTGACCAGTCTTTGCTAGATGGACAAGTTTCAGCACGAAATTCCCAAGGATGGACCCTAAGGTGAGAAGGCTGACGAAAACTGCAGGGCTGAAGACAATACTGTCATCTTGCTGGTTGTTAAAAAAAATAGTCACTGGGAACAAAGTGCAGGATAATTTAAAAGGCTTTGAAAGTGAGCAGAAGACTAGTAAATGTGTTTCTCTGTGGTCAGCTAAATAGTAATGTAGGGAATAAAAAGAATATAAAGATGTCTTCAACCAACCTTATATGTGTGTCAAGACAAACAGGGCAGTGCATTTATACATCTTTACTACTGAAAATCATTGTTGATGAACTGGGGATTAAATCAATGAACTAATAATGAGCCCAAACGAAGTTATCCATTTAGATACGGGGAAATGTCAGCCTAAGAGTTATGGCAGGTATGGACTGAAGAACCAGACCCAAGAGTGGAGAATTTTAGACTATATCCCTATACCAAGAAGTGCTTCAAAATGCAAAGATAGAAAATATCATTGAATGAACATATGTAAAGTATGTGAAGAAGGCCTCCAAGAGGGGAGGGAGTGGAACGATCCCAGCTGTAAAGACTAAGGTAGGGCAGAAGTATTGCTGACAGCTGAAAATTATTGCTACTATAAACTGTTTGTACATAGACATTAATGCCTACAGTGGTTACTTTTTTACACCAGGCAATAAAGTAACCCAGTTACTTCATCAAACACAAATCTCAGCGGTGTTGTGAAGGTATTTTGTAGTTAAAACAGTGTCGGTCACCTGACTTGTAGGAAAGGAGGTCGCCCCGGTGGTGTGCACAGGCTTGTCCAATCAGCCTCCTCCGCAAAATCTGAAATTTCTTAAGGAAGTTTCATCCAATACTGCAGGCTCCATGCCCACTAAGCTTCCAGCCTGCCAGTCTGCCCTCCAGATCTCAGACTTGCCAGCCTCCACATCACTTGAGCCAATTCCTGCAAATAAATCGGGGGGTGGGGAGAGCCTATCCCATTGAGTCTGTTTCTCTGCAGAACTCTGATACATTGAGCGTGCGTGCCTTGAAGTGAGAGAATGAAGGAATGAAAGACTGGGAAAAGCAGCTGCAGGCAGAGAGACGGCAATGAATCTAAGAGTAGGAATCTTGCGTGTTTGATGACCTGAGACAAGGCTAGTGGGCCAGGAATGAAGAGAACAGGGGAGAGGAAGCTAAACTGTGGGGAGGCAAACATACAAGATCCTTGGGCCCCTGCAGAACTCTCAGGGCCATGGTAACTCCTGCTTAACCTTGAACTATAACTCAACATTGCTCCCTCCCAGAAGCCTCCTTGCTTCCCCAAGCACACATCAGGTTCACTATTGCCACTTCAGAACTTTTTTTTCCTTTGTGGAAATCACCATAATTTTTATTTACTTTCTCACTTGGAAAGTAACAAGGTTTACTACATGGCACAGGGTTTTCCTACATGGCACAGGCTGGCCCTCAAGTTGTAATCCCCCTGCCTCTATCTCCGGAGCATTGGGATTACAGGTGTGCACTGCCACATTCAGCCCACTTCATTCTTCTATAGGGGTTTTTGGTAGACATCTCCTTATTCGTCTATAAATCTTACATGAGTGTGATATATAAATGTGCATGATAGAAAATATGTTTTGCAATTCATCCCGAATGTACAATGTATTACTCCTCATTCACTTTGTGAAGAAGGTTCAATGTATGTATGTTAGTGTCATGGTGAATAAAGGGATAATAAAATTTTTGGCAAAAAAAAAAATCCTGAGTAAAATTCACTATCAAGTACAATGTTGTCAGTTGTCAGATAAATTGTTCATTGAACTGCCACCTTGTGCTGGAATTATACTATCTACGGCAGGTAACTACAAAAATGAGCTGTAGACAGGTTTCTGGTTCCAAGCAGATTCTAAGGGATTGACAATGTCCAGCTCATTCATGGAAAAACTTCTGAATTCTAAGAGAAGAACCATTACATCAGTAGGAAGCAATGTTATGTCTAAGAAGGCAGTCATAAACTGGACCTAGACATATATACGAAGAAAATTTTTGGAACTAAATGGGTGGGTTTGAGTCTCATCTCTCCTGCCTGAGTGAGGCTTGCCTTCAAATTCATCTACATAAGGAAAAGTGTGTTGTGCATCTGATTGCTTAAAGACTAAATAAAGTACTCTATGCAAGCTCTAAAATCATTGGCTGGTGTATAATCGTTGCTACATGCGGTTACAAGAAGCATCGAGGTTATTGTGATGTATTTGCCATACTGGAATGAGTGATTAGAATGGTGGAAGTCTTAAGTAGCAGTTGGAAATTTGGAAATTCTTAAATCGGTATTTTTAAGAAAGGTTGACTTAAATCTTCTAATAGAGATATTAGGTTCTTCCTGGTGGGTTGAAGGCATAATAATAATAATAATAATAATAATAATGATGTTTAATGATTAAGTTGGTCCTCCAAGTTCACAGATTCTTCATGCATGGATTCAAACCGCCATTGATGAAAACGGTCTCATTATTAAACATCACAGACTTTGTCATTATTATGTAAACAATATAGTATAATAGTTACTTGTACTCAGTAGTAAAAGTGAAGCAGAAATGATGCAAAATAGACAGGAGGGTCTGTGTAGGATCTATGTAACTATGCCATTGTATACACAAAAAGGAAGCGTTTACACATTGTTGTACCTAGTCTTAGAACCAATCTTCCAGGGTATCCAAAAATGACAGCACTGTCCCTTTAGTCTGCTGATTGGTGGCACTTGCTCTAAAAAGCCTTTGGTGCCCACAGTTAGACACTACTTAGGAAAAGTAAAAAGAGATGGGATTAGTCCATTGCCAGTACGTATAGGAGGATTATACAACAGCATAGGCCGCAGGGAAGTGTGGTATGAAAATGGTTTCTCACCTACTTATAAGGCTCACCTTTTAACTAGCCTATAGTTCTGATCCACAGAGACCCCACAGATTGCTTTTCTCCCTACATGAGACCCCCTCACACAGATAGGTCTCTCTCCTATGTTCTGTTTTTCCTCAGTCCCAGATCCCTCAGATTCCACCAGAACATACCACTCCCCGCCCCTGCCTCCTCAAAAAAAAAAAAAAAAAAAAAGTTCCAAATTGTTTCATTTATATATAAAAAAAAAATTCTCTGCCAGGACTCAAGAGAAACCTTTTTTAACTGCTCAATAGAACCCAGGCCGGACTCAGTTTGCAGGATCAGCCTTGGATTATTTCCACAGTGTCAAGAACAGTCCATGTGAAGTTATGGCTAAGAAAATCAAGTTGTTCAGATCAATGCCTTGCAAAATGAAGACCACAGGTCCTCTAAAGTTTCTGAGACCTCGAGTCCTGGTCTCAGAAACAAGGGAAGGCATTGTCCAGAGCCATTTTTGTTCCTGTGCTCACCAGCATCTGTTGAGGTTCTCACAACTGGCCTGCTAATTCATCTGATTGAAAGGGAATAAGTTGCCAGAAATCACAAAGCTGTCTCCAGTCAAGCAGCATCTTTTTTCAAAGCTAAGTATTGAGTTAGATTTTAGTTGACTGTGCAAAGGCAAGTGATTGGTCTCAGAAGCTATCCACAGGGCAGAATCACTGAGGCCGACACTAGCCAATGTTCTTCTAGGTGGATTGGAGAAAGGACAGAAAAATAAGCTTTTTCAGGATTGCGAGTGAGCATTGCACTGCCGCCCAGGCTCTCGTATTCAGCATTGGGTCCATGGGAATCTCTCTTAGCAAATGACAGTTTGAGTCCCAGCTGCATGGTGCTGGTAGATAAAGGCAATTTAAGAATCCTTCCTTCAGAGGCTCAAAGTGATGAAGCAGCTAACCGGAAGTTTGCCCCCTCCTCCTTTCCGTTGCTCCTTGATAGCCAGTTGTGCTCTGGCAAACACTTTAAATCGAACAGCTCCCCTCCAGCAGTGGCTTTCCAGTTTCACTCTCCATTCGAGTCCAGAGTGATGAAGCAGTGGGTGACTCCAGGCCATAAATTCCATCCATCATCCCACTCTGAGAAGCAGCTAACTTCGTTTGGATTCTACGAAGGAGACAAGAAGATACAGAATTTTGGATCTGTATGAGAAACAGATTGGATGCACACTCGGAAAAGATTTGCAAGCATAAAATGAACAGACAGAGGTTCCATAACATGATAATCTCTGTAAATAAGGGATTCTCTCCATCAACCAATCAAAAAGCCTTCCTGTGCAGCCCACTGAGTTCTCAGTGGATTTTGGCTTCTGCTGTGATGGTAGAAAACTCAATGCTGGTTGACATCCAGTTTTGCCAGCACAATTTGTTGAAGATGCTCTCTTTTTTCCATTGTATACTTTTAGCTCCTTTATCGAAAATCAGGTGTTCATAGGTTTGTGGGTTAATGTCAGGGTCTTCTATTCGATTTCATTGGTCGACTTTTCTGTTTTTATGCCAATACCAGGCTGTTTTCAATACTGTAGCTTTGTAGTAGAGTTTGAAGTCAGGGATGGCAATGCCTCCAGACGATCCTTTATTGTATAAGATTGTTTGGGCCACAGGGCAAGGAAACTTGATTGCTCTGTGGGCTAATGAGGGAGGGGGACTTGATTAGA